AAAAAAAAAAAAAAAAAAAAAAAAAAAAAGTCACTTAAGGGGAATTCTCTGGCGGTCCAGTGGTTAGGACTCGGCACTTTCACTGCCGGGGCCCAGGTTTGATCCGTGGTCAGGGAATGAAAATCCTACAAGCTGCGCAGTACGGCAAAAAAAAAAAAAGTCACTTAAAAATACCTTACAGTGGGAACTGGTTGGGGTTGGGGTGGGGGGCTTTTACAGATTCTGTCACTCACTCAGGAATATCAAGGTTGGTTATAGTTCAGCTCTGGAGAAAGGCCCTGCACCCTAGGACTTAGGGTCCTATCAAGTGGTAATAGCACACCATCACCCCCCAGTTTTTCAAGGCAGAACATCTAGGAGTCATTCTGAATTCTTCTCTTTCCTTCACATTCTATGTTCAATCCAGTAAGTCCTGTCAACTCCACTACATATCTGGAATCTGTCCACTTCTTTCCACAGCTATCACCACCTCCTTAGCTCAAGCCACCATCAACTCTTGTCTGAACTAGTTGAGAGTCCTTATTGGTCTCAGTGATTCCACCTTCCAAATTCATTCTACCATACCATTCAGCCATCTTTTTTTGTTTTCCAGCTTTATGGAGATATAATTGACATATAACATTGTTTAAGCTTTAGGTATACAACATGATGATTTATGTATATATTGTAAAATGTTACCATAGTAAGATTAGACGTGTTAACAATAAGATGTGTTAAAATTAACACATCCTTCACTTCACATAATTACCTTTCTTTTTGTTGTTGCATTCATCTTTTTTAAGAATTTTTTTAGGTTGGAAAAAATTTTTATTGGGGTAAAATTCATGCCTGGTGATCATTCTGAAATGTATAGAAATAGCAAATCACTATGTTGTACACCAGGAACATAGTACTGTAGGTCAATTATACTTCAAAAACAAACTCATAGGAAAAGAAATCAGATTTGCAGTTACCAGAGGCAGAGGGTGGGGAGGGAGAACTGGATGAAGGTAGTCAAAAGGTACAAACTTTATTTTTTTTATTATTTTTTTAAACATCTTTATTGGAGTATAATTGCTTTACAATGGTGTGTTAGTTTTTGCTTTATAATAAAGTGAATCAGTTATACATATACATATGTTCCCATATCTCTTCCCTCTTGCATCTCCCTCCCTCCCACCCTCCCTATTCCACCCCTCTAGGTGGTCACAAAGCACCGAGCTGATCTCCCTGTGCCATGCGGCTGCTTCCCACTAGCTATCTGTTTTACGTTTGGTAGTGTATATATGTTCATGCTACTCTCTCACTTTGTCACAGCTTACCCTTCCCTCTCCCCATATCCTCAAGTCCATTCTCTAGTAGGTCTGTGTCTTTATTCCCGTCTTACCCCTAGGTTCTTCATGACCTTTCTTTTTTATTTTCCTTAGATTCCATATATATGTGTTAGCATACGGTATTTGTTTTTCTCTTTCTGACTTACTTCACTCTGTATGACAGACTCTAGGTCCATCCACCTCACAACAAAAAACTCAATTTCGTTTCTTTTTATACAAACTTCATTTTAAAAAGAAAAAGAGAAAGAAAAAAATTCATGCAAAAAAAAAAAAAATTCATGCAACATAAAATTAATTATCTTAAAGGGTACAGTTAAGTGGCATTTAGTACATTCACCATGCTATACGACCATCACTTCTAATTCCAATTCATTTTCATCACCCTAATAGGAGGCCCATACCCATTAAACAGTCACTCTCCATCCTCCCTTTCCCCTAGTCTCTGGCAACCACTAGTCTGCTTTCTGTCTCTACACATTTACCTATTCTAGTATTTCATGTAAATAGAGCCATAAAATATATACTCTTTTGTATCTAGCTTCTTTCACCTAACATGCTGTTTTCAAGGTTTATCCACATTGTGGCATATATCAATATTTCATTCTTTCTTATGAATAATATTTCATTGTATGGAAATACCATATTTTGTTTACCTAAATGTTAGTTGATGTACATTTGGATTGTTTCCACCTTTTGGTTATTGTGAACAGTGCTAAGTGAAGAATCATGTACAAGTATTTGCTTGAATACCTGTATTCATTTCTCTTGGTGTATACGCAGGAGTGGAATTGCTGGGTCATATGTTAATTCTATGTTTAACTTTTTGATGAACCACCAAATTGTTTTCCACAGTGGCTGTCCCATTTTACATTCCTATTAGCAATGCATGAGGGTGGTTCCAATTTCTCTACATACTTGCCAACTCGTGTTTTCTGTTTTTTGCTCTGTTTTTATAGCCATCCTTGTGGGTGTGAGGTAGTATCTCACTGTGGTTTTCACTTGCATTTCTCTAATAACTAATGATATTGAGCATATTTTCATGTGTTTTTTAGCCATTTGTATATCATGTTTGGTAATAAATTAATTAAAGTATAACACATAGAAAAATACATAAATCAAAAATATATAGTTTAATTTCAAATTATATACACCTGTGTAACCAGATCCCCAGGTAAAGAACCAGAACATTACCAGCACCCCAGAAGCCATCTGCCAGTCACCATCTTCCCAACGAAGCAAATATAATACAATATCCTGATTTCTAACATTAGCAATTTGTTTTGCCTGTTTTTCAATCATACAACATGTGCTTTTGGTGTTTTGGCTTCTTTTGCTCAATATTACGTTTCTGAAATTCACCCACACTGATAAGTATAGTCGTAAATAGCTTATTTTCACTGCTGTATAACAATCCATTGTGTGAATATAACATAATTCTAATACTGACTAGCATTATATGGGATCATCTCTTAAAAACTGTAAATCAGATGATCTCATTTCTCTGCTTAAATCCCTCCAACAGCTTCCATTGAACTTAGGTTAAGGTCTAGTTTATGTGCCTTGGTTTACAAAACCTTGTAAAGACCTGGTCCCTGCCCACCTCTCTAATCTTACCTCCTGCTCTCTCTTCCTCTCCCACTTCCCTCCATCTGCACTGGCCTTCTTTCTGTTTTGAATGCTCTTCCACCTGATCTTCACATGGCGTGTCATCTCACAAAGGCCATCCCCAACCAACCAATGTAAAATAGCCCCCCAGCTACTCTAACACACTGTTGTTCCAATTCTCTGCATAGCACTTATCACCACTTGATTTTTTTTTTTTTTTTTTTTGCGGTACGCGGGCCCCTCACAGCTGTGGCCTCTCCCGTTGTGGAGCACAGGCTCCCTACGCGCAGGCCCAGCGGCCATGGCTCACGGGCCCAGCCGCTCCGCGGCACGCAGGATCCTCCCGGACCGGGGCACGAACTCGCGTCCCCTGCATCAGCAGGCGGACTCTCAACCACTGCACCACCAGGGAAACCCAACCACTTGATATTTTTTTACTTCATTTTTTATTATCTCCCCAGCTAGACTTCCATGTCTATCTTATCACTACTCTGTTGCCAGTGCCTAGAACAGGGCTTGTTCTTTGTAAGTGCCTACTAATATTTTAAAAATGACCACATAACAGAGACATTTTATGAGCCACCCTGATAACTTCTCTGGGCCCCTTCTCTCTACTTATAATCAAAGAGTCCCAAAATTAGGAGGGGCCTCTGAGTTTAGGTAGTCCAACCTTATCTTCCAATCACATAATAATCAATTAGATTACTTATTAAAATGCAGATTTCTGAGCCCTAGCACTAACTACCAAATCAGAACCTCTGGTGATAAAGCCTGGGAATCTGAATTTTAGTAAGTTTACTGGAGAGAATGATGTAACCTAAAGTTTGAGAATTGGTGCCATATCCAATGTGTAAAAAAAGACAGGATCAGTAGTACTGATTTCTCCTTTTGCTTCAGGTTCCAATACGCCTCAGCATGGCATTATTACTCTTTTAATTTAAAATTTTGGTATTTTGTTCATAATGGATTTTTGGTATTAATTTTGATTTTTAAAAAGGGGGTTGGATTAAACCAGAGTTTCTCAATGCACGGGATGGGGAAGAGAGAGGATGGGCCCATTTGGGGGGTGTATCAGAATTTCCAAAGGGAATGTGTGGTTCAAAAAAGCATATTTACAGACCTACTAGAGAACGGACTTGAGGATATGGGGAGGGGGAAGGGTAAGCTGGGACAAAGTGAGAGAGTGGCATGGACATATATACACTACCAAATGTAAAACAGATAGCTAGCGGGAAGCAGCCGCATAGCACAGGGAGATCAGCTTGGTGCTTTGTGCCCACCTAGAGGGGTGGGATAGGGAGGGTGGGAGGGAGGGAGACGCAAGAGGGAAGAGATATGGGGACATATGTATATGTATAACTGATTCACTATGTTATAAAGCAGAAACTAACACACCATTGTAAAGCAATTATACTCCAATAAAGATGTTAAAAAAATCACATAAAAAAGCATATTTGACAATTTCATATGTGGAAGATGAACAAAAAAACTTTTTTTAATGCAACTAGTTTTTTTATTAAACTTTTTATTTTATATTGGAGTATAGTTGATTAACAATGTGTTAGTTTCAGGTGTACAGCAAAGTGATTCAGTTATACATATACATGTATCTATTCCTTTTCAAATTCTTTTCCTATTTAGGCTGTTAAATAATATTGAGCAGAGTTCCCTGTGCTATACAGTAGGTCCTTGTTGGCTATCCATTTTAAATATAGCAGTGTGCACATGTCAATCCCAAACTCCCTAACTATTCCTCCCTCCAACCCTTCCTACCTGCTAACCATAAGGTCGTTCTCTAAGTCTATGAGTCTGTTTCTGTTCTGTAAGTTCATTTGTATCATTAAAAATATTCTGAAATTTCAAAATTTATTTAAGGAAGACATGAGATTTTTATCTTTATCAAAAGGGGACATGGATTTAAACAGTTTGAGAAATGCTGAATGTTTAAGATGTTACTTCTGGTAGGTACCCAGAAAGTGCTTGCTGAAAGAAACGTAGCAGGTCCAAGTCTCATTGCTTTAACTGGACTAAATATTGAGTCGTAACAATTTTCAAAAGTAAACCTCTCTCATTTCTAAGCTGACAGTTCACCAAGTGTGAGTAGTAGTAGATTTAAGGGCACTGCAGCTCAACAAAAGAAGGTGGGGGTCACGTTAAGTTTCATCATTAACAGGTGGTAACTTGTTCCACTAAATTGGTCACAAGGAAGGTATTTAAAGTTTACCCCTGATCCTGACATACAGCCATACTGTTAGGGTTAGTGAAATATCCTGGGCAGTCCAATCAGATCAGTAAAGTCTTGCTGCTCTGATTTACTAATGAAGTCAGTCTGGACAGACCAGTACTTTCCTTCCTTCCTTCCATATCTGTCTCTCAGCCAAGATTGCACTTCTGCAGTCCTACTTTGTGGACTGAGGTCATGTGTAGATACGTGGTCTCTGACTCACGATTCCCTCCAGGCAGGCTCTGGACAGGAGCCCCACAATGAGATTCCACGTACCCATCCCACTCCCAAAGGCCACGTGCATGCTCCTTGGGGGGATGGCATAGTTCTAAAACCCGGCCTTTAACTATGTATTCCACAAAACACCTATTGTGGATTTATAACAGGGCAAGGCACTGTTGCTGGGCAGCTTGCACGGAAAGGCCATCTTGCCCACTAGTGAGTTTTCCCTTCCAATTTAAATAATAATAAAGTATATCCTGAAGAGAGGATTTGTTGATGGTGAGCAATACTCTCAATCACACAACCAAATAATGATGTTGGCAAGTATTGGGAAGCAGTTTTCAACCTTAATTTGTGACGTCAGTTGTGTTTGTTTGTTTGTTTTTTCCATGAAAGTGCAGAGTGCTAACCACTGGACCGCCAGGGAGTTCCCAATGACAAGTCAGCCCTAACAAAAACTTCTCCAGCTTCACCTGTACCTAGTATCCGCTTCCGCAGTCCTTACATGGGGTGGAAGAGGTGAAGCCCATGTGGAGCAAAAGGCAGTCCTGCTTCTGACTCTCCCCGCCCCCTAGAGATGCTGTAGTGGTGGTGGCCTAGCTGCTGGCTGTTCTGTGACTGTACAGACGCACTTCAAACGGGGGAAGAGGGGGAACGAGGAGCGAAGAGATGCTTGGGTGCCCTGGTCATGGCTGGCACTCAATCTACAAGTTAAGTCACTGGACTAGGTGTGGAACCCAGCCCCTTCCTGACACCCTGGGCTTCCTCCTCCAGTTCCCCAGGCTCGGACAGACGGACGCCCCGCACCAGGCAGCAGTGTGGGGCCTGAGACCTCTCTGGGCACTGGTGCCGGGACCCCACCTACACGGTCACCACCACCACTCACCACCACCCCAGCCCCCGCCCCCTCCCGCCCCAGCCGGAGTGGATTCCGCGGACGCACAGACGACACTCACCCGCTCGGAGCAGCAGCGGCAGCAGCAGCAGGAGTGCAGGCAGCATTGGTCGTGGGCTCGGGGGGCGCGCCATTGGCGGGGTGCGCTAGCCGACTGTCGGCGTCCCAGGGCACTCTGCCTGCACCAGGCGCGGAGCGCCCTCTCCCCTCGCGCTGGAGCTCTGCGAGCCGGGTTCCTCCGCCGGCGCCTCCCACCACCGCCTCCCGTCCCGCCTCGCGCGCGCGGCGCCAACACGCTCCCACCAGGGTCCCGGGCGCCGCCCTCCAACTCCAAAGTGGACGGACGCACCACGCCGACTCTCCTCCTGGACCGGCAGGGCTGGGGTGAGGGCGAGCGAGGGCACGCGCCCCGGAGCGGCCGGTCTTTGGCTCTGAAGAGTGCTCCACCCCAGCCGGCCCACATGCTGTCGGCCGCCAACTTCGTTTAGAGGAGGACTTCTACCCAAGACAGTGTGGAAACTGTCAATGGAAACTCGCCATCTCTGGGGTCCAGATATTTATTAAGAAAAAAAGCATCCTGTCTCACTTTCCGGAACCCCCTCTACCACCAAGGAACAACCAACCCAAATGACATAACAAAACTTGAACAAACGCACAAGGGCACTTACATTTCAAGTATATTTTTTCTTTTAGAATTTGCACATCTGTGATTTCATTTCGCCTCGTAAATATCTTCAAGGGTGAGATTCGGTTGTTGTTATTAACCCCAAGATTCTGCAAAGATGGATCCCAGACAGGTGAAATGGCTTTGCTGGGAACAAACCTGAGGCCAGATCCCAGGACCTTTGCTAGACTAGACTCCTCCAAAATTCAGCCCCTTCAGTGTCATGAGGGAGGATGGAAGGATCAAACTTCCCTCAGACTAAATTGTGGAGATCTCCCTGGACAAAAGATCACTGAGAAAGGTGGCTAGAGAGACCATTTAGGAGCCTCATCATTTTCAGATGATGGTTAAGAGACCAAGCTACTCTACCAAGATTAAATACTTAGGAGAACCCAGGACTTCTACATATAAAGATAAGGGTATTTATTAGACTAATTTATTGAGCTGATTCCCACCTGCTCCCAGGATAAAGACAGAGGCAGAATGACTTGGAAGAATGAGAACTAAACAGTACTTAGAGAAGACGGTAATGAAAGGAATTGGAGGGTTTCCTCCCCTAACCTTCCAGCCAAGCCCTCTCCTACTTCCACAGCCCACCTGGCAGAGGGCCAGGAGGGAGGGTACTGAGAAATGCAATATAGACCTCTGAGATTTATTGGCTGCTGCTTCTGAATATGGCCATCCTGCTGTGGCCTCTGGGGGGCATTTGCCGATGTAATCAGCCCAGAAAGACAGTCATTCCAGCCAGGGTGTAAATCACCCTTCACAAAGCTAGGAGAGAGACATGTGGTCCTAGATAAGGAAGGAGACTGATGTGGCCTCTTGTGCCCTTTTCTCCCTTCTCCTGCCCAGGGGGAGCTGATTCCTGAGCTGTAATGCACTTTAAATGGAGTTTGTGCTTCATTTTAATCTATATCTGCCCTGCCAGTCTTACAGGAGAGCTGTGAAAGTGAACATCTGGCTACTCAGCTTTTGTACAGGGCGTGTTTCCCCCCAGTTCCACTCTACCTCTGTGTACCTTTCCCAAGTCCTTCCCTCCAGTAAGATTAGAAAACCTGTGGCTGGGGAGCTGACAGCCCCCACTTTCCACTTCACTCTGGCAATAGTTTCAAAATGGGATTTACAAGGCAAAAGGTAACAATTTCAGGTGGTTGGGATGCTAGGAAAGGGTGCTATGAATCAACAAAGATGTGGGGTGTTCAAGGGGTGTCACTTCTGCTTACTCCTTCAGCAACCAAGGCAAATCAAGTTTGGGGTAGGAGGGTAACTTTGGAAAAGGCATTTGCTCAGGGTGCCTACTCAGTGGGTCCACTCAGTGCTCTCCCCACGAAATGGACCAGGAAGGCAGGAACAAGGTCAAGCCAATGGGCTGAAAGCAATATCCAATTCCACCTGTAAAAGGCCAGCCTCTTTTTGAGAGTAAATGAGATACTTGGAGCATATTCCTGTCTGGGCACTGTGGTGGAGAGCTTGACATCACTGGGCCTTTAATGAGGATTGGTAACCAAGACTAGTGGAGGGTTGTGGAAGCCTCTGCAAATACATATGACTCCAAGACTAATATTGACAGATCCTCCAGCACACTGTCTCCCCACCAACCATGTCCTCTGTGACTTGCCAACACCTGCTAGATAAGCAGCATTGTCATTGGGAACCTTGTGGGTAATGACAAATGAGCCAATACTTTCTACAAAGATGTTACTCAGCCATCATTCAATTCAATAATGTCTTTTGAGATTGATTATGGGTTCAGCTTTGTGCCAGGTGCAGAAATGATTGAGACACAAACTGCCCTGGGAGGCCTTACAAACCACTGATTGGGGCTCAAAGGTCCAAAGACTCTGTACCTAACTCCACTTTCATTTGTAATCTTGGTTTTCTGCCTTCTATCAAGCCCTCTCTCACCATTGAGCTTTCATTCCTGTTGCTATCCTTAGCTAATCCAGGGTGTTAGCAGTTTAGTGAAAAACAGTTAAGAGAACAAGCTTTATAGACTACCTGGTTTCAGATGCCATTTCCAACACATGCTGGGTAATCTCGGGCATGTCACTTAATTTTTCTGTGCTTCAGTTTCTTCATCTGTAAAATTAATAGCAGCATTCACTTCATATAACCATTGTGAGGATTAAACAAGTATACGCTGAGTAAAGGGTTTAGCTTAGTGCCTGACACATAGTGAACACAGAATGATATCACCCCAGGAGGCAGGCAGGAGTTCATTGTTCTATGAACTCAGCCACCCCCTACCACCAGACCTACTGCTTTGGAGCTAAGGCTAGTTCTTCTTCCTTTTGCTGAATATACTAGTGGGTCAGAGTGCTTGTAGGGATGGGAACAAAAAGAATCCTTTTCTACCTTGTCAGTTTCTTGAGGGCAGGAACTGTGTCATATTATTGAATGCCTGTGGTACTTAGAATTGACATCCCTAGAGAGGAACTGGTGTTTCCCTAACATTTGCTTGAACTGAGTGGGGAAAGAAAATCGTCCACGCCTCCCACTTTATATGCCTGGTAAGGAAAGGGAAATGCTTCCCTCTCTGTAGCAGAGGTCAGCCAGGTCCTGGCTGGAAGGAAGCAGTATTCAGGAAGGAAGCAGTATTCAGACCAAAAGGTTTCCATTCTTTATTACTTGACTTCATGATGAACGAATACCAGTCAGTGCAAGGACACCAGAGCAGAGCTAACCCCCTATATAGCCTCGTGTGGAGGTTCCTGGGCTGGGGTCTTAGTGTCTGCCCTTAGCCTCATTTCTCAAACCCTAGCAACCCTATGGCCCTGACTTCTCAAGAACCGACAACTGAGGCTCTTACACATGTAACACCTGATACAGTGCCAACTTAGAAAGACAGATTGTTCATTGATGAGGATTTGGTAACAGCAAAATCTATTAACGGTACAGACTCTGGAGCCATCTCGGCCTGGGTTCAAATCCCAATTCTGCCATTAATTAACTGTGGGATTTTAAACAAGTTACTTGGGCTTCCCTGGTGGCTCAGTGGTTAAGAATCCGCCTGCCAATGCAGAGGACACGGGTTTGAGCCCTGGTCCAGGAAGATCCCACATGCCGCGGAGCAACTAAGCCCGTGCACCAAACTACTGAGCCTATGCTCTAGAGCCCGCATGCCACAACTACTGAAGCCTGCATGCCCAGAGCCCATGCTCCACAACAAGAGAAGCCACCGCAATGAGAAGCCTGCACACCGCAACGAAGAGTAGCCCCCCGCTCGCTGCAACTAGAGAGAGCCTGCGTGCAGCAACAAAGACCCAATGCAGCCAAAAATAAATTAATTAAATAAATTTAAAAAAACAAGTTACTTAATCCCTCTGTTCCTCAATTTCTTTATTGGTAAAACATGCATAATAGTGAATACTTGCCTCACAGGATTGTTGTGAAAATGAGTTTATATATAAAATGAGTTCACGAAGTCTTGCATGCAGTAAACAACTGAAAAGTTGTTAGCTACTATTATTATTGTTCCGGAAAATAACATGAATTAAGTGATGCGGTACCTATACAATGGGAAGATATTACAAGAAACTATATGGGAAAATGTTGCCTTTTAGGCAAATATAATTTTCCACAAAGTAGATAGCTGATTAAGCCCTAGTTTTATGTGTTGCAACTCAGAATTTCCATTTAAGATTACTGAAATGTGAACACTTGTACACCAGTCTCTTCCCAGGTAGTGACTTGCTTCCACCTTTTTGGGGAGAATTATCAGGAAATGACCCACTAGATTAGGCAGTGAGTCAGGGACCCCTCATCACACTTGGAAGTGGAGGTGCTTCCAGCAGTTTCCTGCTCATGCAACTAGAAGTTCCTGCTTGGTGGGGGGAAGTGTGTGGAGTGGGACAGGGAAGCAGCACCTTTCCCTCAGCTATTTCCACCTAATGTAGCAGAAGCTTTTCTTTCCTTTTTACCCCCGGCCCTTCTGAGCTCTGAGCTCAAGGGCTTAGGCAGGTCAGAGAGGGAGCCTCCCTCTGGACAGACACGCTCCAGCTAGGAGTGGAGGCTGCAGGCTGCAGTGGCTGGCTTAGAGAATACAGCAGTGCCCTCTGCTGTGAGGCAAGCATGCAGCATTCCGGGAGAACAGCACTTGCAAACCTTGCAAAAATCAATCCAGTCACTCTGGCACACTGTTGGGCTGCCCTATGGCTAATGCCCTCCTTCCCTCCCACTCACTTTTAAAAAGTCTCCCTGCTCCAGAACCTGGGAAGATATCATTTTTGTCTCCATTCTATGTCAGTCTAGGCTTCAGAGCCCTTTGTCCTTTTCTAGTCCTGAGCTATCACTACTACTAGGTTAATGCCAGAGAAGACAATGTTCAATTAATTCCACGGCCACCCAGGCCAAGTAGGGCTGTACCTTACTACACAGACAAAAGCCTACTCACCTTAAAGAGCTCTAAGAAAGGAAAGCCTGGGATAATACTGAAGAATGCAATTTAAAATATCTTTCTGAAGTCTAACTGATCTTGCTTGGTACTTTTCTTTTATTCCTATCTTCATATAGCATGGATCTCTACTTCCAACCATCCTAAATCCTAAACTTGTCTCTGTGAGACATGAAGTGGAGTGGAGAAAAAAATTTTGGAAAATGGGAAAAGTCAAAACTCCATTGAGGCTGTAGATAAGGAACCTTTTGAGCCCAACTCAGACCTATCCCTTGGCCTTAGAGAATGGCAATTATTTTGGTTTTCTGAGCCTTGATACCATTGAGTGTTGAGTCTGGGGCACACTTTTAGGCAACTCATACTATGGAATGGTCTAGGAAAGGAAAGCCTGGAACATTGCTGAAGAATGAAATTTAAAAGGTTTTCCTTAATTCCAGAGCTGTGGTTCTCAAGCCTTTCATGTATCAGAATCACCTGAAAAGGAGATTTTTAAAACCCAGATTTCTGGGCCCTAACCTCAGATGTTCTGATTTAGTAGGTCTGGAGTGGGCTGTGAAAATTTACATTTCAAGCAAGTTCAGATGATGCTGATGGACCAGGGCCCAAACTTTGAGAACCATGGTCTGGAGAAAAGCACCTAGGCCTTAGCTATGAATAGAGATGGCTACATCTTTGTCCGAAGGAGTTTAATGTGGTGATTACTTCCTTATACACATCTTCTAGGAACAGACTGGGCTCACAATCGCATTTCTCATTCTTCAATGTTTATTTTCCCATTTTAAAAAAAGGTGAGAGAGGGAAACAAAGAAGGAAAATATAGAGAAAGAAGATGGGCAACTCTCTCTCGCATAGACAGAAGCCCACGGGGAAAGAGATGTGGCTGACCTCTGAGGAGACTCACGCAGTTAGGAAGAGGAATCCAACAGCTCCCTGAAGCAACACAAATCTCTATGCAACCCAAGGCTCCAGGCTTATAGAGCCAGCTCCAGGACTTCCCACCAGCCAGGAGCTCTACTGACACCTAACCAGTCCCCAGGCCTGGGATTTCAGTAGTTTGGCAGCCTGTTGGTTTGCTGAGATCTTTTAACATCTTGGGTTTAGCTGCATAGAAGATGGCCTCTTTTCTGCTTAGGGTTTCTACAGTGTCTTTTGGTGAGTCCTAAGCAGCCAGTGGGTGATCTGATATCATGGGCTCACATCCTTCACCAGCAGGGCAATCTGTTCCTGCAGCTGCCGCTCCCCTTCCCATGCTTTGCTCTGGTTTCGACACCTCAGCAGCTCAGTCTTATGGTCCTGGTGATGCATAGGGCAGTAGCTCTGTGGTTCGCACAGCTCCTGAAAGGCAGGGGACAGAGTAAGGGATCCTCTTGATTATGCAGTCTTCCTACTAGGTATAATAGAGATGCTGCAAGTAGTGGCTAAGAAGAAGCAGCAGTTTCTTCTCAGAGGGCTTTGCAGGACCTGGGAGCTGCATGCTGAAGTAGGCTTCCCCGAGTTTGGGCTCCCCCGTTGCCCCATGTGCCCCATCCTTTACCATATATTCTGGAAAGAAGTCTCTGTAGCCCCCTTTGAGGATATACAGCTCTGGGTAGTACAGTGCAGGATACTGGTTCACAGCCCTGTCCTCTTGTCTCAGAGAGCGGTACCTTTAGAGAAAATCCAGGGATGGGTGGGGTGGAAAGAAGCAAGTTCAGGATTCCACGGGCTATACACTGGGGAAGGGGAGGACTTTTGCTAACCCTCAAAAGGAACTCCAGATCTATTTTTGCAAAACAAGGTCCAAGTAGCACCATTCTTTCTCCTCTGCTCCATTGGTACCTAATTCCCAATCCTTTTTCCTTCACTGCTTCCAACCTTTGAATTGTAGAAACCCCTTTCCTCCACCTCCCTAACATTCTTCAAACTTCAGTGAAAAGTATTCATTGATTCAGTCTCTGTCTGAACTGATCTGGGAAGGTTCTCTGGCTGTAAGTCCCTACTCAAGATCCATTTCCATCACCCACCCTACCCTGTGTAGACACTCACATGCGGGGACCCCTCTCTGAGGAGAATTCACAGTGGAACACAATGATTATTCTTTTCTGAGTATCCAAAGGGACAATGGGTTTCTTCAGAAAGAAGTTATACAGTTCTTCTTGACTGTACAAGTTTAAAGCTCCCTGTAAAAGAATTTTATTAAGTATTTCCTTAAGGATCTGTGAACAGGGCCAACACTTAGAAATAACTGGAATACCATCTTGAAATATTTGGTTCAGGAAGGCTAGACTATAAGTACTTTCAGAGAGGCAATCTACCTGTATCTACCCCCAGGGCCTGGCATGGAGCTTGGTATGTAGTAGGTGCTCAATAAATGTTTATAGAATGGAGCTGCCTGAAGTGTAGGGATCATTGTGAGGAATGTCTGTAAGCATTAAGTGTTTGCAAAGTGCTTCTCAGTCCTTGGATGAATGTTTTTACTTCCAGGTAGGAGCTCTTGGCTCCTATAGAAAGACGGGAGATTGGTCTAAGAGGGAAAGGGAAAGTAAATTGCTCAAAGTACACAGAATTAGAACAGGAATGAGGACTGAGCCTTGATGTGCTCCAAATATATAATATCTGCCCTGGTTCTAGAGTTCACAGGACCCTTTGTCCAGACTTCTCAATAAAGAGCTATCCCCAGCCCCTTCCCTACTAAGTCCTCAATGTAACCTTACCTGGATGTGTCCTCCCAGGTACTCATATGGATAGCGGCAATCGATGATATAAAATATCTCTATCAGACCCCGGAACTTCCCCAAAAGCAAGGCAGCCACCTGCACAGAAACTATGATTGAATATCCTGCTTCTTCTGAGGGAGAGAAGAGCCAGTCACACAGTTCCTGATTTGCACAGCATTCCACTGTACGCCCAGCCTCCAAAGTCCCCCTATGGTTGAAATACGGCAGTGATGCAGCCCCACCCCACATGAGAGGATAAAATAGGAAATGGCCTTTTTGGAGAACCAAAATAGCTGGTATTATCAGGACATCAGGGAAAACCACACTCAGGCTACTTATTTGGAGGCAGGCATGGCTGCAGTCAGCCTCTGAGAAGATACCCAAGGACTTCTGTAAGGGCACAGGTAGCAGCTAGAGCTCCTGATTTTACAAGAAGAAATGAGAAATGATTCCCCACCCTCCGCTGTAAAATTAGAAAGCAAGTTTCCCAAAAGGGATATGGAAGGAAAGGGGTGATATCCAGAAGAGGAAACTTAAGCTCGTGTAGTTATGTCAATTGGTTCAAACTTTCTGGAGGGGACTTTGTAAATACTTATAAAAATAAATGCAATTACACTTTCAACAATTTCTTTTCTAACATCTTAAGTAAACAGAAAAGTACATAAAGATAGGGCACAATAATATTCATCTCACCATTGTTTCATATTATCAAAATACTATGAATAGCTTAAATACTCAATAAAAGGGGTTTAGTTAAATAAATTAGACATTATCAGTATAACAGAATATTACATAGCCATTAAAAGGATAATATAGATATCTTTTTATTGCTATAGAAAGATGTTTACAATGTCTTACTAAGCTAATTGCAAAATTACATGTTTATTATGATCCTATTTTTATAAAACTTATGCCAGAATGAAATGTGTAAGGCCATAAGGAAAGTATTATTAGTGCTTATTTCTGGTGGTGAGGTTATGGGTAGAGTGACCAAATAATTACTGCACAAACTGGGACACTTTTGAGAGTGAAAGAGAATACTATTAATAATTACCCTACACTAATAGGCATAAACGGGATTGCAACATGTAAACCAGGATGTAAGTTCAGCCTAACTGGGTGATTTTTACTTTTTTCCTTTCCCCGTCCTCCTTCCTTCCTTTCTTTCATAACAATTATATATCATTTGTTTAATTAAAAACAAAGGTGCATATAAAAGAGAGTCCTTTAACACAGCTTCAGTTGAATAAAGAGCCTATATGAGTGAACACAGAAATAAATACAAATGGAAGTGGGGATTTTAGGGACAGAACAGACCAGATGGTAGCTTATGTAACCAGTTACCATCTCCAGAAATCTGCTTACTGTTTCTGGGTTGACGTACTTCAGATCTTGGTGTCTCCCTGACACGGTCGGCAGTGCACATACCTAGAAATACCCAAGAGCTGAAATAATAGCAAGTTCTCTATACCCAAATTTGAGATCATGACCCATATATTGTCCTTTCCAAATGACATTTAAAACCTCAGATGCCTTCAGAAATCAATGCTCTCTATAACATGCATATGCAGCAATTTCATTTCTAAGAACTGATCCTAAGGAAATAATTACGGATAGGTACAAAGTTTTAGATTTAGCTACAAATATGTCCACCTTGGTATAGTGCATAAGGAAAAATTGTAGAAGTAAATATCCTACAAGAAAGGATTTATCAAGAAATTATGGGCAGCCAAAAAAGAAAGAAAGAAGTACTGTGCTGCTATTAAAAGTGATGAAATGATGAAGCAGAACTGTTTACTGACATGAAAAGATGTTCCTGATACATCAAATGAGAGGGAATAAAAACCTCAGCAGATCACAAAACAAACATAGAAAAACAAAAAATGCATTTGTGTACATGAATGTGTGTTTGTGAAAATACATAGAAAAAAGTCTGCAGGAATATACACCAAGAAAATATTAAATAAAAGCAACAATACTATGACAAGATTTGGGGTAGATTTCATTTTCCATCTTTTCTGTAGTGACCAAGTATGATTTACATAATTTTCAAATATATTAAAAAAAAAAAAAGTAGAAAGCCTCATACTTGGGACTTCCCTGGCAGTCCAGTGGTTAAGACTCCGCGCTTCCACTGCAGGGGGGACAGGTTCGACCCCTGGTTGGGAAACTAAGATCCTGAATGCTGCACAGTACAGCTAAAAAAAAAAAGAAAGCCTCTTCTTATCTTCCCCACTGCTCTGGATATTCCCAGAACGAATAAGGAATCCTTTCTCATGAAAGGTTTAGGGCCTAGATCTACCACTACAGCAATTTCAGGTTATCAGTGAGTACTTGGTGAAGATGCATAATTAATTAAACCTAGTGTCCTCTGCAAGCAGAGAAGATTCAGATCCAAAATACAGGATGAAATATAGGATTGGTGTAACCAAACTCACCTTGGAGAAATCACCAATCAGAGGCCCCTGGTTAGAATCTTCCTCCAGCATCTGAGTCATATTAATGTCACAGAGGGAGACCATTTTCTTTATACCTAAACCCTGAAGACAACAAGATTCCCCCCACCCCCAGTCCTCATATTAAAGGTTTAAAAACCATGGGATGGAAGGAGTAGAGGGAGACATTAAAAATATGCATACTCTTTGATCTAATAATTCCACTTGTTTTACTAAGAAAATAAAGATATGTACAAAGATTTGGCTGTAAGGATGTTTACAACAGAGAAAAATTTCTAATAAATGATCAATAACAGGATCTTGATTAAACAAATCATATCCACACACTACAGATTACTATTAAGGAATAAAAAGTATATTGTAAATTTCAGTGACATGAAAATATGACATGATATCATTAAATAGGTTAGAAAACATGTACTTTATAATGCCACTTTAATAAAAGAAAAAACATTTGCATTAAAAAATGTCTGAAAGACTATACATCTAGTATTAACAGTAATTATCTCTGGTCTGTGGGATTATGGGCATTTCGCAACGGCTTCTTTTTGCTTACCTGCATTTTCCATTTTTCTGTAACGTCATACACTGATTTTATAAAATAGCCAAATGTATTGAGATTTTTTTTAAAGGAGGGATAGGGAATGAGGGCTAAGTTTTTCAGAATTTGCTTCCCACCAAACAAGTGTGCTCTAGGATGCTATTTCTCTCAGAATGCATATAAAACAACAATAAATGTCCTTACCAATCAAAGTTCCCTTGTACTTTCTCAGATCTTAAAAAAGAGGGTTGGGAAGACAATACAATGACATCATTTCCAAAATTATACTATAATATATTTATTATTAAATATTTTATATATGGATGCAGATGTAGAAGAGAAAACAGGAAGATGGAAAGAAGAGATAAAAGTAAAAGTAATGAAGAAGACCAAAAGATGTACTAAAGCAATCCCCATGCCAGAAAAGTGGAGAAAACGAGATAGAAGATTAAAGAGGCTGTCTTCTTAAAAAGTTTCTTACCTTCCTGAGCTCTTTGTGGCTAGAACAATATTTCTTTTTTACTTTATCTGGTATTGTGTTGTCCTTGAATTTTACCATCTGCTTCAGTCCTGGACTGTTCAAACTGTCTGGCAACGAAGAGGAGCGATACAGGCAGCTCCTGTTCACAGATGCCTGTTTGGAAATATGAAACCCCAAGGTTCTTCCTCCTTAAAGTGTGTCTGCAGGCCAGCATTGTGAACATCTCCTGGGAGCTTGTTAGAAATGCAGAATCCCAGATGTTAGGCTTCAGCCCAGACCTGCTAAGTTAAAATCTGCACTCTAACAAGATGCCCAGGTGATTCCTAGGAACACTCAAGTTTGAGAAACAATGCCCCAGGTAAGCAACCTGTCTTCCCCTCCTCATTAACATCTTTCTCCTCAGACTGCATGATGTTCCATCTCTCCTAGATGTTTTAAATCCAGCCAAATTCTCGACCTGACCATCTTATATATAACAATTCTTGTAGAAGAAAGCAAATGCAAGCTTAGTTCCTCCAGTCATATGATAGTTTCTCTATGGGATCCTAAGACCCTGACAATCAAAAAACAATTTTTCTTTTCCAGCTGTGTTGGGTCTTCTTGCTGCACGCGGGCTTTCTCTAATTGCGGTGTGTGCTACTCTTCGTTGCAGTGTGCAGGCTTCTCATTGCAGGGGCTTCTCTTGCTGCAGAGCACAGGCTCTAGGCACACGGGCTTCAGTAGTTGCAGCACATGGGCTCAGTACGCAGGCTTCAGTGGCATGTAACTGTGGCATGCAAACTCAGTAGTTGGGGCGCGCGGGCTTCAGTAGTTGTGGCACGAGGGCTCAGTAGTTGTAGCTCGTGTGCTTTAGAGCACAGGATCAGTAACTGTGGCACACGGGCTTAGTTGCTCTGCAGCATGTGGGATCTTCCCGGACCAGGGATCGAACCCATGTCCCTTCCATTGGCAGGCGGATTCTTTTTTTTTTTTTTTTTTTTTTTGCGATATGCAGGCCTCTCACTGTTGTGGCCTCTCCCGTTGCAGAGCACAGGCTCTGGACGCGCAGGCTCAGCGGCCATGACTCACAGGCCGAGCCGCTCCACGGCATGTGGGATCTTCCCGGACCGGGGCACAAACCCGTGTCCCGTGCATTGGCAGGCGGACTCAACCACTGTGCCACCAGGGAAGCCCTGCAGGCGGATTCTTAACCACTGTGCCACCAAGGAAGTCTAAGATCCTGACAATCAAGATTTAAGAACCCCGACAAAACTGAAGATGACAAGCCAAAAAAGTTAGCCTGGGTGAAAAAGTACTAAGAAGCAAGAGTATATAGTTGTCCCTTGGTATCTGTGAGAGACTGGTTCCAGGACTACTACAGATACCAAAATCTAGGGGCGCTCAAGTCCCTTACTTAAAACCATGTAGTATCTGTATATAATCTATGAACATCCTCCTGTATACTGTATTTTATTTATTTATTTTTTGGCCATGCTGCACGGCATGTGGGATCTTAGTTCCCTGACCAGGGATCGAACCCATGCCCCCTGCAGTGGAAGTGTGGAGTCTTAACCACTGAACTGCCAGGGAAGTCCTTCCTGTATATTTTAAATCATCTCTAGATTATAATACAGCTAATACCTATACCTATACCTAATACCTATAATACCTAATACAATGTAAATGTTATGTAAATAGTTTCCTGTGTGGGCAAATTCAAGCTTACTTTTTGGAACTTTCTGGGAAAAAAATTTTTTTTTTTTAATATTTTCAATCTGTGGAGTGAGAGAGAAAAAAATGTCATTCAGCCTTCTTAAAGGGGATGAATGGGGAAGAAATATAGCAAAATAAGCAGCATGCAAGGAAAAAGAAAACACTAGAATCTAATATCAGGATGACCATTACAGGATTGATACTATGAAGCCCATCAGGAAAAAAGTAGATTAAATACCATGAAGAACTAGTTTGGGAGTTGCTGGCCCAGGAATAGACTTAATACAGGAGGATGGACTAATTGTCTCTTTGGAAGGCATGATATGTGTGTTATATACCCAGAGGCAGGGGGATATATTAAAAGACCTCTGATGGCAAGTTTCAACTAATTCAAGATTCTTATCCTCTGTTTCCTTCTTTATACACTCACCTCACTAATTGCCATGGATTGATTTAGGAGGGTGCTAGACCTCCTAAATAAGAGATAAGAGAGCCAAAATTAGAACACATATTGATAATAAATGGTTTCTAGGAGAAGAAAACATGAACATCAGTATTTTACTTTACAATAACTATATCTACACTACAGTGTTTGTCACACCCATGGTCCTAAGGAAAACTCCATTGTTCATGGTACCAGTTGAAGGTACAGTTCACATTTGATATACCAACATTCTATACCTACCTTTTCCTTTGGACCCCTGCCAGTCATCTCCCTATGTCTCCACAACCCTACTCCAAGCCACTGGTGACTGGACCATATTGCTGACTGAACACTCCTATTTAGTGGTCAAGAATATGTAAACATAACCTGGGCCAATCAGGTTCCCTCTCTGATAGTTTAACTTGGAAAATATCAAAATAATTAGGCAGCAGCAGAAGCCAAAGCTTTATTAAAAGGAAGAAGCCAAGAGATATAGTCAAAGGCCATGATGCCAATGAATGGATGGATGAACCAAAGGTATGGTGGTAGAGGAAATGTGGTGAAGAACTGAGGAGTAGGCTACCCAGCCTCCATGACAGACTTCCCTTCATATAACTTCAGTTTTGCCCTGAGAAGAATGCAGGAGGAAGCCAGATCAGAATTTCAAATTTGCTGGCCTTAGTGCAATCTTTGTTTCTTTTAACCAAAAGAGCCTCTCTAGAACACACTGTAATTATTAAGTTAAGGGCTCATTTTAAAGAGTTTGAATTAATTATCTACTAAGTGAAATGTATCCATGTATTAGTATTACATCTAAGAAATCTTTGCCTAACACAAGGTCACAAACATTTTCCTCCTGTTTTTTTCCTTCAGTTGTTTTACAGTTTTAGGTTTTATATTTAGGCCCATGATCCATTTTGTGCTAATTTCTATATATGGTGTGAAGTATAGATTGAAGTTTCTGTTTTTCAGATGGATTTTCAATTGCTCCAGCACAACTTGTTGAAAAGACTATGCTTTCTCCATTTAATTGCTTTTGAGTCTTGGTTTATTATCAATTGACCATATATGCATGAGTCTGTTTCCCGAATATCTATTCTGTTGCACTGAAGCTTTAGGTTTTTGGTAGCTATTATGATGGTGATAACGAAGGTGATAAACATCTCCTTGGGTTTCATATTGTCCAAGGACAAGAAGCCAGAAATAAATGATAGCAAAAAACTACTTTAACAAACAGAAACAGCCACTACTGTTTTGACAGATACTTTCCAATACATTTATATAAAAACAAATGGCAACTTATTGCAAGGAGTATAAGTGGTAGGTCATAGAGGAATGATGATGATGATACTTTAGATTTGTCTAGCCAGTTAGAAGTTTCCCAGTTACCAGAAGCTAGTGAGGGGAGATCCCAGGACCAGCTGTCTTAGATCTACCAACTAATGACTTTCATTGTTTAAGGAATCAATGAACACTTTCCAAATCTGGGAGTTTTAAAGCATTGCAAAGGCCAGAAAGGAGAAAAGTTCAATTCTACTTGCAGATTTTATTAAAATGTTAAATTAGGTAACTATTACTTTGTAAACTGAGGAGGCATCATCATTTCCTCATGGCTTATATGCTCTTCAGCACACATAGTCTTGGCTTCTGTCTGTACCGCTCTACTGCTCTTGTCAAGGTTATCAACAGTCTTCTTGTTGTCACATCAGATGGTCACTTCTTTAGCCATGTATCATCCTGAATTTCACAGTGCCTTCCACTGACTTGGCTAATCCCTTATTTAGCTTCAATGGCACAGCCTAGTTTCTTAGTTTAGTCCTAGTATAGACAACTGTTTACTAAAAGAACTGTGATGCTTCTACCTCTCTGTTGCTCCTTCTCAGTCTTCTTTGTCAAGCTTCCTCACCTACAAAACCTCTAACAGATGTTGGATTCAGGGCTAGGACCGGGCCCTTTTTCAATCTCCTCACTCTTGCCACAGGTGACTTTTTTCTACCCATGAATTTAAACTTTCCCTCTATGCTGATGACTCTCAAATTTTTCTCTCAAGACTTCTGCTCTTACTTCCAGACTTCCACATTCACATACCTGTTTGACAATTTTTACGTACATACCAGGTGACACAGCAGTGAATCAGAGAGTGGAAGAGACAAACAAATAAATATACTCTGTACTTTCATGTAGTGAAAAGTGCTGTAAGTAAAAAATAAAGAAGGATAAAAGACAGGAAAAATATTGGGGTTAGAAGTTTGTCGGGAAAGGCCTTTCTGTTAAGGTGACATATGTGGAGATAAGAGACCGAAATGAGGGAGAAAATCATGTTTGCCCAGGGGAAGAGTGTTTCAGGCTGAAGGAACAACAAATGCCGTGGTGAGAATAGCAAGGCAAGTGATGGCCGCATTTAGTACGGTTCCATTTTTAGAAAGCTCAAAAACTGAAGCAATACTATAAACCAAATAGATCTAACAGACATCTATAGAATACTGTACCCAGCAAACAGTAGAATATACATTCTTCTCAAATACACATGGAACATTCTCCAGGATAGACTATATACTGGGACATAAAACAAGCCTCAATAAATTTTAAAGGATTGAAGTGATACAAAGTATGTTCTCTGATCACAATGGAATAGTTAGAAATTTATAATAGAAAAAAATCTGGAAAACTCACAAAAATGTAGAAATTAACACACTCCTAAATAACCAGTGGGTCAAAAAAGATCACAAGGGAAATCAGAAAATACTTTGAGATGAATGAGAATGAAGATATAACATACAAAAACTTAGGTAAAAATGCAACTAAACCAGTGCTTAGATGAAATTTATAGCTGTAAATATCTATAATAAAAAAGAAGGAAGAATTCAAGTCAATGACCTAACCTCCACTAAAGAAGAAACTAAATCCAAAGCAAGCAGAAGGAAGGAAATAAGACAGATTAGAGCAAAACTCAGTGAAGTAGAAAATAGAAAAACAATAGAGAAAAACAACAGAACCAAAAGTTGTTTCTTTGAAAAAATCAACAAAATTGATAAACCTTTAGCTAGACTGACCAGGAAAAAAAGAGAAAAGACTCAAATTACTAAAATCACAAATGAAAGAGAGGACATTACAACCAATCATATAGAGTTTTAAAAACATCATAATGGGGACTTCCCTGGTGGTCCAGTAGGTAGGACTCTGTGCTCCCAATGCAGGGCACCCAGGTTTGATCCCTGGTTGGGGAACTAGATCCTACATGCATGCCGCAACTAAGAGCCCGCATGCCACAACTGAAAGATCCCACATGCCTCAACTAAGACCTGGCTCAGCCAAAATTAATTAATTAATTAATTAATTTTTAAAAATCATAATGGTATACTATGAACAATTATATTCTAATGAATGAGAAAACTTAGATTAAACAGGAAAATTCCTAAAAAGGCAAAAACTATTGTCAAGAAAAAAAAAAACAGAAAATCTGACTAGACCTGCAAAAAATAAAGAGATTAAATTAGTAATTTTAAAATTTCTCACAGGGACTTCCCTGGAGGTCCAGTAGTTAAGACTCCACGTCTCCAGTGCAGGTGGCATGGGTTCAATCCCTGGTCAGGGAACTAAGGTCTCGCATGCCATGCGGCGCAGCCAAAAAATAAAATACAATAATTAAAAACAACGACGACAAAACAAAACTTCTCACAAAGAAAAGCTCAGGGACTTCCCTGGTGGCCCAGTGGTTAAGAATCCTGCTGCCAAATTGAAGGAGAAAAAACATATGATCATCTCAACAGATGCAGAGAAAGCTTTCGACAAAATTCAACACCCATTTATGATAAAAACCCTCCAGAAAGTAGGCATTGAGGGAAATTTCCTCAACATAATAAAGGCCTTATATGACAAACACACAACCAACATCATCCTCAATGGTGAAAAACTGAAAGCATTTCCACTAAGATCAGGAAGAAGACAAGGTTGCCCACTCTCACCACTATTACTCAACATAGTTCTGGAAGTTTTAGCCACAGCAATCAGAGAAGAAAAAGAAATAAAAAGAATCCAAATCGGAAAAGAAGAAGTAAAGCTGTCACTGTTTGCAGAGGACATGATACTATACATAGAGAATCCTAAAGATGCTACCAGAAAACTACTAGAGCTAATCAATGAACTTGGTAAAGTAGCAGGATACAAAATTAATGCACAGAAATCTCTGGCATTCCTATACACTAATGATGAAAAATCTGAAAGTGAAATTAAGAAAACACTCCCATTTACCATTGCAACAAAAAGAATAAAATATCTAGGAATAAACCTACCTAAGGAGACAAAAGACCTGTATGCAGAAAATTATAAGACACTGATGAGAGAAATTAAAGATGATACAAATAGATGGAGAGATATACCATGTTCTTGGATTGGAAGAATCAACATTGTGAAAATGACTCTACTACCCAAAGCAAGCTACAGATTCAATGCAATCCCTATCAAACTACCAGTGGCATTTTTCACAGAACTAGAACAAAAAATTTCACAATTTGTATGGAAACACAAAAGACCCCAAATAGCTAAAACAATCTTGAGAAAGAAAAACAGAGCTGGAGGAATCAGGCTCCCTGACTTCAGACTACACTACAAAGTAACCAAGACAGTATGATACTGGCACAAAAACAGAAATATAGATCAATGGAACAGGACAGAAAGCCCAGAGATAAACCCACACACATATGGTCACCTTATCTTTGATAAAGGAGGAAAGAATATACAGTGGAGAAAAGACAGTCTCTTCAATAAGTGGTGCTGGGAAAACTGGACAGCTACATGTAAAAGAATGAAATTAGAACACTCCCTAACACCATACACAAAAATAAACTCAAAATGGATTAGAGACCTAAATGTAAGACTGGACACTATAAAACTCTTAGAGGAAAACATAGGAAGAACACCTAGAGTCCATGCTCTGCAGCAAGAGAAGCCACCCAATGAGAAGCCCGAGCATGCAACAAAGAGTAGTCCCTGCTCGCCACAACTAGAGAAAGCTTGCATACAGGCACGAAGACCCAATGCAGCCACAAACAAACAAACAAATTAATTAATTAATTTAAAAGAAACTGAGGCATAGCAAGATCATATGACTCACCCATACAGGTAAAAGTGGCAGAGTCAAGCTATGAACCCAGGCAGTCTGGCTCTAGAGTCCATACTTTTTAGACCAATATGCTCTATTGACTCCCATGCTCTTGACTTTTCCCTCTAACCCCAAATAATCTCAAAGTCATCCTTCAATCAGGATTGGAAATGGTGGTCAGAAAAACATAATACCCAAGGCTAATTAACCCTAATTTTCTTTCAAGGAGAATATATTCAAATATACTTTGTGAAATAAGAAAATATATAAAATGACTTATTACAAAGCTACAGTAATTGGAACTATGGTTCTGTAAAGATACACCTAGACCAACGGAATAGAATAGGGAGTCCAGAAATAAACCCTCACATACACAGTCAAATGATTTTTGACAATGGTGCCAAGACCTTTCAATGAGGAAAAGACAGGCTTTTCAACAAATAGGGCCGGAAAAACTGGATACTCACATGCAAGAGAATGAAATTGGACCCTTACCTTACACCATAAGCAAAACTTAATTCAAAATGGAACAAGACCCAAATTTAAGAGTTAAAACTATACAACTCTACAAAGAATTTCTGTGTGGGGTGATGAAAATAAAATTGACACCTCTGTGCCCTAGATCTCTCCTTTCTGATCCTTGAATGATGTCATTCCTGTTATGTATCTACCTCATTATTAGACTCTTTAGTGGCTATTACTCCTTCTTCACAAACTTTCTCTCTGCTTTTAAACTTGGAGTCACTAGCCTTCATTTTCTCCTCTATGCAGATGGTTCTGAAACGTACATTTCCAGCCCTGATGGTTCCAATTCCTCATTCAGTATTTCCTTTTAAGCTTCCTGTTACTGTCTCTAACTGAAATGTCCAAAACTGAACACATCTTATTCCCTTTGAATTCACGTTTCTTTTCAAATTCATTACAGTGTCACCATTTCTCCAGTTACTCAGATTGAAGTTAAAAGTAGTACCATCCCAAACTCCTAGGTCCCTTTTTCCTATCACTCTGCCATTCACAGCACTTTTGACAATCATTATCTTGTTTATTGACTTATTTGCATTATCTATCTTCTTGACTAGAAAAAATACAAATAGGAACTACATGAAAATTAGGAATCTTGTCCATCTTAATCATGACTCTGTTCTTAGTTCTAGCACAGCACCTGGTGCATACCAGCTTCCTAATAAATACTTATTGAATATTGTTAACAGCTTATAATAGTTTTTATTAAAAATAATAAAGTAGGTATATTATTACAAACTGCTTTTAATACTTTATCATATTAACAATGATTCTCTTGTGGAAGTGTTTATTATCATTATGCTCTCCATTTTATATTTGAGAAACTGAGCCTTAGAGTGGTTAAGCGTCTTGTTCATGGTCATAACACTACATAAGAGAATGAGGACCAGAATCCAAGGGTTCTAACTCAGCTATATCATATTACCTTGTAAAATGAATAAGTTTAAAAAACACACCCCCTGGACTTCCCTGGCAGTCCAGTGGTTAAGACTCCATGTTTCCAATGCAGGGGGTGCAGGTTCAATCCCTGGTTGGGGAAGATCCCCCAAGCCACAAGGCAAGCCAAAACAAAAAACAAAAAACACCCCTACACATATTTGTTTCAAAGAAATGGAGTTGATTCAGAAAATCTAACTGCCTCAGAAACTATCTTTGATATTTCAGTACATCGCCAATAAGCTACAGGCTTCAGATATTCCTCTCAATGATATGGGGAGGATAAAAGACAAAAATATATATTGTAAAATACTTAAAAAATCATGCTAAGTATATCCCATCTATTACTATTATTCTGGAGGCATCACTTACACAAGATTACATTGATGGTGATCTACTCAAACTGCTAACGAACCTTCTCACCCAGCAGTAATAAGAGTCCCATGATGACCTGATACCCTATCAGTCAGGTAGCCCTTAGAGTATAAAGACCATGTCTTCTTGATCTCTGCAGACCTACCACATAGTACAGTGGCTGCAACATATTAGATACACAATATTATTTATTCAAGAATGAAAGAATTTAGGACTTCCCTGGTGGTCCAGTGGTTAAGAATCCACCTTCCAATGCAGGGGACGCAGGTTTGATCCCTGGTTGGAGAACTAAGATCCCACACGCCGCAGGGCAATTAAGCCCATGCACCGCAACTACAGAGCCCACATGGTCTGGAACCTGTGCACCACAACTAGAGAGAAGCCCGCGTGCCATAACTAGAAAGAAACCCACCCGCCACAATGAAAGATTCCGCGTGCTGCAACTAAGACCCAACGCAGCCAAAAACTTAATTAATTAAAAAGAATGAAGGAATTTGAAAAATGCAAAAACACCATCAGAGAGTACTTTACCTTGGCCTCTTCTTGATCTTCCAGAGAAAACTCCATCAATTCATCTGAAATCTCCTCTGTCTGGTTTTCTCCTAGCTCTGGATTTTTATCTAATTTTGAAACTGTAGTAATAGGACTGTCCAGATGTTTCATTTCACTTTCCACCAAGTTTCCATTGTCCTATGAATTATATTGACAATATTAAAAACTATCCAGGACCCTTACCTTACACCATATACAGATATTAACTCAAAATGAATCAAAGACCTAAATGTAAGAGCTAAAACTATAAAACTCTTAGAAGAAAATAGGAGGAAAGCTTTACAACCTTGGATTTGGCAATGATTTCTTGGATATTACACAAAACCACAAGCAACAAAAGAAAAAATAGATAAACTGGATTTCATCAAATTAAAAACTTTTGTGCATCGAAGAATACTATCAAAAAAGTGAAAAGGCAACCCATAGGATAAAATATTTGCAAATCACATATCTGATAAGGGATTAAATTCAGAATATATAAAGAACTCCCACAACTCAACAACAATAACAACAATAACAACAATAGCAACAATAACAACAGAAGGAAACAGGACTTGAATAGACATTTCTCCACAGGTATACAAATGACCAATCAGCACATGAAAAGATACACAACATAACTAGTCATTAGGGAAATGCAAATCAAAACCACAATGAGATACTACTTTGTACCCATTAGGATAGCTACTATTAAACAAACAAACAAACAAAAAACCCCAGAAAATAACAAGTGTTGGCAAGGATATGGAGAAATTGGAACCCTTGTACATTGCTGTGGGAAATGTCAAATGGTGCAGTCGCTATGGATAACGGTATGGTGGTTCCCCAAAAAAATCAAACATAGAATTACCGTATATGACCAGTAATTCCATTTCTTGGTATATACCCCAAAGAATGAAAGCAGGGGTTTGAAGATATTTTTATGCGAATGTTCACAGCAGCATTATTCACAATAGCCAAAAGGTGTAAACAACTCAAATTCCATCAACAGATTAATGGATAAACAAAATGCAGTGTATTCATATGATAGAATATTATCCAGCCATAAAAAGGAATGAAATTCTGATGCATGCTACAATACGGATGAACCTTGAAGACATTATGCTAAGTGAGACAAGCCAGAAACAAAAGGGAAAATATTATATGATTCTACTTACATGAAGTACCTAGAGTAGTCAAATTCACAAAGACAGAAAAGAGACTAGAGGTTACCAGAGGGAGAAAAGCGTAGTTATTATTTAATGGGTAGACAGCTTCTGTTTTGAAGGATGAAAAAATTCTGAAATGGATAGTGCTGATAGTTGTACAACATTGTGAACATACTTAATGCCACTGGGTTGTACACAAAAATATGGTTTAGATGGTAAATGTTATATATATTTTACTACATTAAGAAAAATCACACACACATATACAGAAGATTATGTAGTAATTTACCATGCTCCACGTCTTCCCCTATTCCAAGGAATCAAAAATCTGAAACATGATCAGCTTCATCTACTTAGCATGGGATATGTTAAAATGGCTTTCCCAAAGTGTTGAGATTAGAATCCAAATCTCTGGAGTATCTTAAGTCCATAGTCTATTAAAAACAAGTGATGCTGTACACCTGAAACTAACACAACCTTGTAAATCAACTGTACTTCAATTTAAAAAAGAAGAAAAAATCACAACAAGTGAGTGCCTGGGTAACTTAAGACTCCAGTAGCAAAATGGACAAAGGACACAATCATTCACTGGAGAAAATATACATGGCTAATAGTCACATGAAATCATTACTAATTATTTTTAACATAAAATAAAACATTTTACCCATCTAATTAGCAATTTTTTTAAAGTGATAACAAATTATCCAAATGAGCCATGGATTGCTCCTGAAAACATAAATTCTTAGAACTTTTTTTGGAAAGGAATTTGGCAATATGTATCAAAAATCTTAAAAAATATTTAAACCCTTTAATCCAGTAATTATGTTGTCTTGGTGCTAATCCGAAATAAAAAATTTTTTAACATAGGCAAAAATTTGTGCTCAAGAACTTACATGATAGCATTATTTGTAAAAGCAAAATGTGGATACTCCTAAGTGTCCAACAATCGGGAAGTATTGTACGTAGGTGTTAGAATAAAAGCATCCCTTAAAAAGTAATGTTTACTAAGAGTTGTAATATTAACTTAAAATAACAGGATATGAAGTTATATATATGATATGACCTCAACTTTGTAAAACTGTACACATGGTTAAAAGATTGAAAGAAATGAGGTAAAATGTTAATAGTGGTTTTTCTCTATGAGGTAGCTATTTTCTTTTTTATATTTTCCTTTATTTATTTATTTATTTTTAACATCTTTATTGGAGTATAATTGCTTTACAATGGTGTGTTAGTTTCTGCTTTATAACAAAGTGAATCAGTTATACATATACATATGTTCCCATATCTCTTCCCTCTTGCGTCTCCCTCCCTCCCACCCTCCTTATCCCACCCCTCTAGGTGGTCATAAAGCACCGAGCTGATCTCCCTGTGCTATGCCGCTGCTTCCCACTAGCTATCTATTTTACATTTGGTAGTGTATATATGTCCATGTCACTCTCTCACTTTGTCCCAGCTTACCCTTCCTCCTCCCCGTATCCTCAAGTCCATTCTCTAGTAGGTCTGTGTCCTTATTCCCATCTTACCCCTAGGTACTTCATGACGTTTTTTTTTTTCTTAGATTCCATATATATGTGTTAGCGTACAGTATTGGTTTTTCTCCTTCTGACTTACTTCACTCTGTATGACAGACTCTAGGTCCATCCACGTCACTACAAATAACTCAATTTCGTTTCTTTTTATGGCTGAGTAATATTCCATTGTATATATGTGCCACATCTTCTTTATCCATTCATCTGCTGATGGACACTTAGGTTGCTTCCATGTCCTGGCTATTGTAAATAGAGCTGCAATGAACATTGTGGTACATGACTCTTTTTGAATTATAGTTTTCTCAGGGTATATGCCCAGCAGTGGGATTGCTGGGTTGTATGGTAGTTCTATTTGTAGTTTTCTAAGGAACTTCCATACTGTTCTCCATAGTGGCTGTATCAATTTACATTCCCACTATCTGTGAAAGAGTGTTCCCTTTTCTCCACACCCTCTCCAGCATTTATTGTTTGTAGATATTTTGATGATGGCCATTCTGACCGGTGTGAGATGATATCTCATTGTAGTTTATTTTTATACCATTTTCACAATGGGCACATAGTACTTTTAAAACCAGGGAAGGGGGGGCGGAAACACTTAAAGAATAAAGGGGAAATTTTTTAAAAGGCCTAAGAATTTTTTCTTCTCCTTAAATTTAAATGAATAAAAAGATCAGAGGATATCTCCTCCCTTTCCCTGCTCAAAGGTTACTTCTCCAACCTCTTTTCTCACCCAAGTCAGCTTTGAAAAATTCAAAGGGACATAAATCCAGATCTATCATCCTCTACCCCACAATACCTCAGTTGACTCTTGAGGAAGATGTCCAGTGACTCACCAGCAGAAAAAGAGGAGACCTCAGGTTCCTGGGTACCCACCACTCCAAGGGCTTTGAAGTGCTGTTTTCCTGCATAAGAAAAACTACATTGGCTGGAGGAAGAGAAGTGTCAGCAGACCCTGCCAAAAACATTTCATCTGATGAAGCCATGAATAATCCTTACAAAACACAGTATATGTAACCAAGGTTGACCACGTACCCTGAAAATACAAATTATGGTTTGGATTTGTTATGGTGTGTAGATCTGCTCTGGAGCGTACTAATTTTATGATCACAAGCCAAATGAAGGGAGGAAAAAGGGAGCCTGACAGGGGAAGGAATGATGAGATTTTTAAAAAGTGATTATAAAGGGAGATTAGAAGGACTGTAATTCAAGAAAAAGCTGATTAGAACAGCCAAAAACATGGGCATAATTTAGGCAATGTGAGCAAAGAAGAACAGCAGCTATCTTTTATAGATACTGACCTGACGGAAAGGATGGCAGGCAGGGAAAAGAAAAAAGATGGCTAGAAAATGGGATTAGTTGAAGGGATTAGTTAGAGAATTATCTTAGCGATTAGGTAGCTGTGGAGAGGCCAGTTTCAACTTGGAACTGAAGGATGGTCTGAGACTCAGAGGAAAAAGGACAATGACTTCCTCAGAATAGGGGCTAAGAAGCTGGGCTAAGGGGGAAATAAGAAGAAATTAAGAAACCTAGACTTGTATATGAAACCATGCAAAGAATATGTGAACAAGTTATGTAAGTTATCCCTATCTGTTTAAAAAAGAAAAAAAGTCCTAAATTCCTTACACTGCAATCAACTGAACATGAGTAATAATGATGAACTGCTGTGGAAGACTTGGAGCTAGGATCAAACCTTAAAGGGTAAAAACAAAACAAACCATAAAGAATTTTTTTTCCATAGTGATGCAATTTGCTTGTCTAGCATACTGAGGCACAAACAGCTCTAGGTCTCATAATGATACTGATGAGTTAGTTGTTCCACTCAAAGGAAGAAAACTGCTAATGGATCTAGGTTTCCATTAAAACACTCACATTCTCTTTATTTGTAGATGAGCTACATATTGCATCTTTCTTCCTGTGGCCATGGTCCAAAGCATTCGGAGTGCTACAAAGCAGCTGTGCCTACAAGAGATTGTTTTCTGAGAACATCCAGCATCCTCAAGCCACAGGTAAGCTGGAAGCCCTCTGCTTCCCACCTGACAAACAAACTCAGACCCAAGAAAGATGAGTTACTCACTGGGCTGCATTTTACAAGGTGTTGGTGATAATTCCTGTAGATAAAAAAAACTGCCAGTCAGTTAAACCCCAAATAGGATTTGGTTATTCTTCAGTGGCTTGGGACATCCCACTTTTCCTTTCTTCCATTCTAGGAGACCTGTACCTAGTTGATATGTCTTTTCCAATAACAATATGTAGGGTGTTCTCTGTGGTAAATATCAAGACATTGAGTGACATCCTGGGGATAAGGACCTCATTTCACTGGCATAACCATATACATAGATATGCATCAAAGATGATGAGTTTGTCCTACATCTTATGCAGACACAATTTACAATTTACTAATTTTTCAGCATTGACTATTGAGAGATAATATTTATTTTTTTTATGAATTTCTATCCTCCCTTTCCAGATTTTATCTAGTTTACCTGGGTTAGGACATATAAACAATTCAAAGAAAATACAGGCAATATAAAGTAAAATTTTCACATGTATTGATTAAAAATACTCATGGAAAGCCTTCCCTAGTGCATGAAAGTGGCACCTAATTCATCTGAATATCGAAGAATAATACTATAAAAAGATTAAAACAGTCAAATGGAAAATTTATGATAAATTTAAGAAGTTGAATTAAAATTACTTTTCAGTCCTGAGTACTCTGATTGAACATTTTAAGATCTCCAACACGGGACTTCCCTGGTGGTTCAGTGGTTAAGAATCCACCTGCCAATTCAGGGTACACGGGTTCGATCCCCGGTCCGGGAAGATCCCACATGCTGCGGAACAACAAAGCCTGTGCGCCACAACTACTGAACCTGCACTCTAGAGCCCACGAGCCACAACTACTGAGCCTGCATGCCACAGCTACTGAAGTCCATGTGCCCAGAGCCTGTGCTCCACAACAAGAGAAGCCACCGCAATGAGAAGCTCATGCACCACAACGAAGAGTAGCCCCCGCTCGCCGCAACTAGAGAAAGCCTGCGCACAGCAACGAAGACCCAGTGCAGCCAAAAGTTAATTAATTAATAGATTAATTTTTTTAAAAAGATCTCCAACAAAGAATCTTCAACAGTAATAATAATAAACATTATAAAATGTATGGTATGCATTAGGTACACATTTTCATTTAATCCTCACAGCAGCCATTTATGTAAAGTGCTATTATTATCTCCATTATTATTATTTCTTTATTACAAATAAAGAAACTGAGGTCCCTTGAAATTAAGAAACTTGTCAGAGTCAGCTGGTGAAGTAGTAGTAAGCCACTGGAATCCAGACACTCTGATTCCAGAGCCTGCACTCTACACTTTCAACCACTAAGATATATATACTCCATCTAAGTGCAGTATACCATTCTCCTCCATTCTAAAGACAATACTGATTGTATGTGATGGTTAAAATGAATAGCCTTCATTTTCACAACACAATTTAAAGTGAGCTTTTTTTTTTTTAAGGAATTTTGCCTTTTTTCTTTTTTTTTTTCAAATTTTATTTATTTATTTATTTGTTTATTTATTTATTTATGGCTGTGTTGGCTCCTCGTTTCTGTGCGAGGGCTTTCTCTAGTTGTGGCAAGAGGGGGCCACTCTTCATCGCAGTGCGCGGGCCTCTCACTATCGCGGCCTCTCTTGCGGAGCACACGCTCCAGACGCGCAGGCTCAGTAATTGTGGCTCACGGGGCTAGTTGCTCCGCGGCATGTGGGAACTTCCCAGACCAGGACTCGAACCCGTGTCCCCTGCATCGGCAGGCAGATTCTCAACCACTGCGCCACCAGGGAAGCCCCACAACACAATTTAGATCTTGGAAACTTAAAAACATTTCAAGGGAAGAATCTAGGCCCCCAAGCCCACTTACATCTAAAGTGAAACATTCTCTACTCTACAGAGTCTGCATAGGATAAAATCCCCAGGCCAGTGTTGAAAAGGCTTTAGCATGGGGTTCATTTCGCAAAAGAACTTACATCCCAGCTAACTGTATTTCCTCAGGTCCTGTAGAATCCAAGTGACCTGCAATCAGATGTGAAGAGTTATTCCTGTCCATGCATTTTGTCTTTCCTTCTCATTTTCTTCATTACCAGTGAGTCATATTAATTTCAAAAGCTGGCCTTGTGAACACAAAGGCTCTTGATAGGTACCAGTTTCATGGTACAAGGTACCATGGTATAAGGTACAAGTTCATGGAAACTTAAGAATTTACATGTGTCGCGGAAAGAAAAAATTCTGATTAGCAGTGCATTATGCTAAACTACAGAGATTTCTTCCATGAGTAGAAAGGAAAGCTTATCACTCAGGAAATGTGAAATCAGAACAAATACTAAAATGGTTGATTAGTAAAACACATTCCTTTGGGGTACACACCCTATAAAAACACATAAGAATTAGTTGACAAAGTATTTCTTTATGTTGGTTTCTTTGCCTCTGCTGAGATTAGACTAGGGCATAAACTTTTCATCTTTAACTACCACTTTCATTCCCACAATCAGTCAACAAAATATTCCTTCTTGTCTAACTTTCTCAATGAAAAGTGACTCCTATTGGGGTCAATTCTCTTCCCATTGGCTGAGTCATTCTCCTCAAAAATCCTCTAGGTACTCAAAGAATTCCATCTTCAAAGTTCTCTATTTACTTTTACCACCGTCCATCTCTATCCTACTACTCTGTCCTCACCCCTAACAGTTATTCCTTCCCTTGAGGCTTTTACCTCCCTTTTCCCTACCAGTTTCATCAAGGTCTGAAGAAGTGGTAAACTGAGTGGCAGACATCTCCCCGCTGCTAAGATTCGAAAGATTAAGGCAACGTTTTGGGGTTTCTCTGTTGAGACATAATAATACATCAAGATTCCCATTAGGTTGTAATATCCTTAAAAGGCAAAGATCACATTATCCTCTTCATTTGAAACACCCCTCAATGACTATCACATAATCTGAGCAGTGTCCAAATAAAGCTAATTGTTTTTTGGAAGTATTTCAGATTAGGCTGAGAAAAATCTCCCACCTTTTCTCTACTCTAATAATCTGCACCTCATTTTCTCCTCACCAACATATTGAGACAAGGGAATTTTTAAAAATTGGCTGAGGTGGGTCTTGACTACACATCTTTTGCCCTGAGCAACATAACAACACAGATTTGATTTCTCCCTGGAGTCTCCAGTACTTCTCTGATCTGTGATTCTCCAACTTTGTTGATTAGCTGACGCATGAGGGCATAGCATGACCAGAATTTGAAGTACAGTAACAGTAACGTTAACAGTAGTACTAATAAGTGGAAACTCATATAATGCAATAAAGTTTTCAAAGACTTTTCCCAGACATCACATCATTTGATTCTCACAAGATCCTAGTAAGATATTATGTCACAGCAAAGAAGCCTGAGACTCAAAACGGTCACATGGCTAGTCAAGGGCAGAGCTAAGACTTAAACCCTGATCTCTGAGCCAGGATAATTTTTAAAAACCCAAAAACTGTTTAGAAGAGCAAAGGAGATAAGGTGTGAAAAGAAAAAGTGGATTTACCCAGACAAAATGCTTAGGTTTGCAGAATCACCAAAAAGTTTCTTCTCCACTGGGGTTCTAGGGATATCTGAACTGATGGAAAAGGAAGTATCTCTCTCCAGGAGCAGGTTTAATATCTTCCTCTGATTGGACCTAAAACTAGGTCCTGAGTCAGGCCTTCCCTCCTCTCTTGTAGATGAAAAGAATTCTGCAGACATGGTCTCCGAGTTCTCACTAAGAAAAAATAAAACGTAGCTAAGAGAGGGAGAACGTCATCTACACAGGTACATCACAAATGGTCTAGCTGTCAGAACCTCCTCCACCCTTTCCAGCAGCGACCAAGCGGATCAATATTAAGGAGGGGGCATTCCTAAACGGTGAACCACATCTTGGCTTGAAGATTAAATAGCACTTGCCGAAGCGGCTTGGCCTTTCCAGCGGAACCTGAACTGACCGAAAGGCAACCTCAGGACCTTAAAGATGGAATGAAAAGAGGACCTGGACTTGTTAGGAGCCACATAGCTCGTGACTCCTGACAGGAAGGAACTCGGGTCTCCTAACTCGCGATAATGCCTGTTTTGTCCCCCTAACCTCTGTTTGCGAGGCCCGTGATTCCAAGGAGGACACAGCTCTGGGCTTACCTCAGGTTTGAGTCTGAGACTTGCCTTCAGGAGGAAGAGAAGTAGGCAGGGAATCACACACAAGCGAAGACTCTAGCAGAATTCAAGGAAATCTGGGGAAAAGAGGCGATTTAACCAGACGACAGCTATGCCTCTCGACCAGATAGGCTGGAGTTTGCCTTCTCCGCTTCTCTCACCGGACTGTCGAAGTTACAGCCTCAGAGCAAGATCAACAGCCATAGGCCTTGACCATTCAAACCTTCCGCCCGCCCAATAACCTATCCCGCTCGCCTCTAAGCTGCGCCAGCCAATCTCCGCGCACCCGCCTAGACAACCCCGCCCCCCCACACCTCGGCCAATCGTTTGCCTCGTACAGCACCCGGGGGCGTGAACTGTTCCGGAAGGAGCGAGATTTGCCCCGCCCCGCAGCCCAGCGGGCTGCCAACTGGCCCACCAGCTTTCGGCAAGGCCCGAGTTAAACCCCGCCCCACAGGGAGTTTGGCGCCTCATTGGCTCTCCCTCTGGCCTATCACCACACCCTTTCTGAGCTCTCCTTTCCTTCAGCCCCTCCAACCCCGGGACATTTAAATTGCTAGCGACGACCACTCCCTAGGGTAATACCTGGAGAAATTAATTTAGGTGGGAGGGTGCTTTAAACGTTTTTTGTTTTTGGTTTTTTCCCTTGCTTCTTTCTCGTATCGTTACGTGGACCTTTCCCTCTTAGTTTTGCTAGCCTTCCCCAGTAGATGGAACATTTGCCGCCCGTGTGGCAGATGTTGCGGCGAGACAGGTGCGTGTATTTATGATGAGTAGCACTGGCCCCTTCCAAGAGCTTTCCTGGGTCGGTGTCCCTTTTAAGCGCGCAGCATCTGAGACGCTAGGTTATATGCGGTAAAGGGAATTCCTTTTCAAGGAAAGTAGGAGAGTTGAATCATCTCTTGGCGTAATCCTTATCACAGTCCAGAGGATACCAAACTTTGGTTGTTTATGGAAATTTGAACATTGACTAGGTGATACTAAGAATTTATTCTTAATGTTGGGGATTTGCTTTTAAATAATCCTGTGGGAGTGGTGGTGAGTATAGGTGAAACAAGATTGGCCGTGAGTATTGGGTGATGGGTAGCTAGGGGGTACATATCAGTGCTCTCAAAGTTTTATCCGCATACTAATCACCTGCCGATCTTGTTAAAATACATATTCTGATTCAGTAGATCTGGGTAAGAATTCAAGATTCTGAACGTCTAACAAGCTCCCAGCTGATGCTAATGCAGCTGGTACTGGGACCATACTTTGAGTTGCAGGAGATTACGCTGTTCTCTTTGTATATTTGAAATTTTCCATAAAAATGTTTAAAACAACCTTGGAAGCTCTTTAAAATACATGTTCCCAAAGTGATAATTCAGTAGGTCTAGAGTAGGGCTCAGGAATTATCAAGGCCCCCAGGTGCTACCCAGACAGATGGCTTGCAGACCACACTTTAAGAAACGAATTAGAAATGCAGCCTTAATCTTTGAGAGACAGTAAGTGAGAAATACAACCTTTATCTGGTGTCAGGATCTTGGTAGTGGTAGTGGCTGAGAGTAGCTGGGTTTTATCCTAATACCCTTTTCATCTGTAGAATCTGCTTCCCCAGAAAGGAGGTGCGTGAAGAGCCTTTATCCTCTAGGATAGAGATGGTGAGTGTGGGAGTCAGTACAGAGCCCTGCCATGCCAGGTGAGTTTGACAATCAGGCTGGGGATTAACGGAATGTGGGAAGAGTTGGTTTCCGCTTTGATGACCATCATCACACTTCATGGGACGACTGTCTATTTCCTCACAGGTGGGAGGTAGAGACAGATGCAATTGTCCTACAGCGGCGGCAAAAGCAGATAGATTATGGCAAGCGCACACCTGGTTACCAGTGCTTTCTGCAGCAGGTCCCCAAGTGAGTGCAGTTGTGGGTAGTTACAACAAGAGTGTCAACCACGTGGCTTCTGTTCACTATCAGATGATGGAAAGATACTAGAATCTGAATGCTCCCACAAAGTTGTAGCATTACTAAAATAAATTATCCAGCAGTCTAGCCCCCCAGATAAGTTTCCAAGTGTTTTTTTTTCAAATGGAACAAGTTATACGTGGGCCATAAGACTTTTTAAAGCTCTATCCATGTTTGCTAATGAAAATTTTTTTTCTTCCATCCATTTTCACCTCATGCCTCCATCTGACTTGGCTTATTACAACATACTTGCCTAATTACATGTAAGCTTACATGCATACATACAAACTAATGTATGAAAAGGTAGAATGTACTTTAAAGAGACGTCAAATATTTTCTTTTATATCTCTCTTGACTTCTGAGGGAGTTGGAATATCTAATTTACCCTTCCCAGAAGAAAGAATATTAGGGAATTGGGAATTTTGATGTTTAATCTAATTTAAAGATTTTCTTTGGATTGTGGGCATTGATCTTACCTCATTATCAGAGAATCCCTAATGAGTCTCCTAATTTATCATGATAAGCAGTGAGCTGTGCCCCTTCACCTTGACCTCAGTCTGACATATATGTTGTTGCCAGGGCACAGCGACAGCCAGGACTTCATCCTCAAACACCAAACAAGAACAGGAGGTACAGCCGTCGCTCCTGGGATGCCCAGATCAGGCAGTGGAGAAGAGCCCTACATTCCTGGGACCCCCCCAGCCAGCCTCTGCAGGCTGAGGGGTGTGTGCACTACTATTCCTTGTTCCTTCCCTGAGTGGTGGACTAAGCCCTACCTCTCCCCACTTTGCAGAGGTTTAGCTTTCACTGGCTGAAAAGGGAGAGTCTGAATGAGCTGCACGTTCCTCTGACTCTGCTGCCTTCTTAGGTGGGGAATGGACAATCTCTTAGAGCCAATGGATTCTACCCCTTTGGATGACTGGCTCAAGACCCTGGAACCCTCAGAGAATCTGGATGGAGAACAGAAGGGAGCCCAGGTAGTATCCTCTGCTAAAACCCACTGGAGCAGGGTCAGAGATGGGATCTGGCCCAAGAGGTCACAGTTATGATGGGGTTCAAGGTAGTAGCCCAAGAACAAAAGAAGGGAAATGGGACAGAAAGAAAAAATTGCAGGACGTGAGTAAAAAACCTTGAACCAAAAGTGGCATAAAGAAATCTAGTTATAGTTAGTAATGGGGGACAGGTTGGGCTGCACTGGGGGCTCTGTTTTATACGTGATGAAATGGGTGTCATCTTCCTTTGAAAGGAGACATGAAACCTGAGTTGCAGGGTTTAGTTGTTTTAAGTGTCTCAGTTTCTTTCAGTGTTTTCCAAATGCGCCAATGCTAACTTAACTTCTTATTCTCAATCACTTAACTTTAGTAAGCATGGTATTTTGTTATTAAATAAAAAGGGTGATCACCAAGTGGTGAAGACCAAGGGCTTTAGAACCTCAGACTGCTTTTTTTTAACTTTTTATTTTATATTGGAGTATAGTTGGTTAACAATGTTATGAGTCAGATTGCTTTTTAATACTGCTTTTGTCCACCACACGGGCAGTCACTTAACCTCTCCTGCTGTTTAATCCAACAAATAAGGAGATTTTGTCTCATTTGATGATTGTAAACAAAAATGAGAATACATATTTAAAGTATGCAGCACGGTGCCTGGCACGTAAGTGCTCCATAGCAGCAATTATTGGAAACCATGTCTCCTACACTTCACGGCCCCTGTCCCTTCTTCTGCCAAGGGGAAATGTGCAGGGCAAACAAATGTGCAGTGTATCTCCCATCCCCCCCCCCCCCCATTTTCTTGATACTACCTCACTTTCCCTCTACTCTTCTTTTCCAGTTTGCAGGTTTGGTGGCTCCTGTCTCCTCCCTTCCCTGGTTCTGTGAGGAAGATCCCCACCACTGGCTCTACCTTCTAGCCGATCACAATTACTTATCTGTCCCAGACTTGAGTGGGACACAAAATATTTAGGGAAAACATATCTTTCACGGGACTCGTTGCTGAATGTAATAGTGAAGATTACTTGCACTACTTCTACTTAACAATCGATTAAAAAAGATCTAAAACTCTGTCCTACAAAGAGATCATAACACGAAGGCATTGTTTAAAACCTCTCCTCTTCCCATATTTTACCCTCTCTCTAAACCTTCTTTGCTGGCTGAGACTCAAATTTACATAAGAGCCAGAAACCACCTAGCTGTTCCACAACCTCTTCACGTGCTAACGGCTACATTCAGTCTCTTCAAAAAGGACTTAAACTTTGGCTGAGGTGGGAGGTGGTGGTAGTGGTGGAAATTTAATAAAAGGTGGTTTCCTCTTCCTGAAGAGGAAGTATAGCGCCATCAACATCTTTTCCCCAGCTGCTTGTTTCCTCCCTCCCTTTTTGTCTTAAGGAAAGTGGTCCAGCTGTAACCACCGAACTCCCCCCTCCCCCACGCAAGCAACTGAACCGCCTATGATGTCATAATCACAATCCCATTACCTCATCCTGCTGGGGTGGGGGGGGCGTAGAGGGAGGAGAAGGAGTGAACCGCCCTGGGCCCTCGTCAGATTTACGGTGTTTTGGGTGACGGCTAATTACAGAACCAAGTGGGAACGGCCCCGCAACCGTTGTAAATCCTGGGTTTATAACGTTCGAGCCCATCCGGCAGCTGGAAGAGGGGCTCCCGGGACTCAGAGCAGGCCCTAATCGGCGCTTGGACTACACTTCCCAGAAACCTTCACGCCGCGGACGGGTCCTCTGCTGGGGGAAGGGGGATTCCTTCAGAGTGGCGGCCTTAGAGGGTAGGAGAGCAGGTGAGAGGAATCCTGGCTAATTCCGTTACGCGCCGGAACCGAGTTGGGGGCTGTACAGGGGCCGATGTAGTAACAGAGGGCAGGGGCGATGTCTTTGTTTACCTTCGACCGACACGGCCTCCCCCGGGGGTTTTGAGATTTGCCTCCAACTGGGCCAGTCCACCTTCTGCAATATTTTGCAGGGGGTGACTCGCTAGGGAGGAAACCACCCTCATCGCTAAATTAAAGAGCCGGGCGTCTTCCTGACTGTGCTCTCCAAGAAAGACTTTGCGAGAGAAACGACGCGGGTCTCGAGCCTCCGCGGACGGTTCAGGGGCGTTCTGCGAACCGGAGCGATCTCTCCACTCTCCTCAGGGGCCCGTTGGTTCGGGCCGGCGCCTTTTAAGGGCACCGTGGGGCGAACCGAGCGCTCAGAGCTGCTCCGGCCGCGGCCCTGGGAGCAGGAGGAGCCGCGGTAGGTGGCGGAGGGCAGGTGGCGCTGGGGCCTCGGGGCGGG